GTTTTTATACACGCAAACCTTTGATAGATCCGGCCCTAAGTATTAGTTGTCAACCTTAACCAGGTTCAGAAACAAACACTGGTGCAGCCACAGCAGCGAGAGGCGACTTACTTAAGTTGATTAAGCTGCTCTGGTGAAGTAACAACAAAGTACCCTGCCTGCTACAGATAATTTAGAGCGATTTAAATGTATTCAAGTAGATGCACAATACAAATTCAAGTGGTAATAATAAAAAAAAACATTATTTGCTAAAATAATATTTTGTTATCAGAAATTGATAACCATTTGGATAATTGACTCTTAACCTTCTACAATTGTTCCTGATTAAATAGTTTGGTGTAGGGACCCTACTTGCTTCTTTAGCTAAGCTATTTTTTTTTTATAAGTTAATGGAACTAGAAGCTAGCAGACAAAAATTCACTAATTTCAAAGGAGTCTCTGTTTATATTTTGCAATCATATGCAATAATAAGCATACCAGGAAATACATAAAGCTTATGTCCTATTAGTGTTTAAAATATTATTCAAATCTGTCTTAACCTTTTAAACAGTCGAAACAGCTTAACACATGTTTGCATTGGGTAAGCTACCATTTGGGGGCTATAAGTTTCTGTTGGCTTGTTTTACCAAAGTAAACAAGTTGCTTTGAGAAAGCAACTTTTTTTTCACTTTTTAAAATAAATAACTAATGAAATGACTAAGATTATATTACTAAAATGTAGACTACATTTTAAATCCACTGAACAGCACTGTACGTAGAAAGTGACTTGGATGTTACAGTCGCATGGAAGTAGAACTAACTTAATTTCAACATATCATATTTCATCATATTTTAAGTCTAACTTGCATGTGTCTGAGCCTGCTGATTCAGTGATTTCTCTTCATAAATGCACTCATCAGCCCTTTTTCATACTGCTTCCATATCAAAATTACATTTTACATTTGTTTTTTTTTGTTTTTGTTTTTTTTCTTAAGGACATAACTGTCAGCTGGGGTTTTTGGTTGTCTGTTTTAGTTTCACAGGTTCTCCACTTGAGGGCTTCCTGGAAAATTATGTTAATAAGATGTAAAAAAATTTGTTAATCCTTCCATATAGGGAGAAATTAGTCATTGAATAGACTGATTTTAATCAGTCTATTCAATGACAAATATCACTAAATAAAGGCACCCAAAGTGAACCATTAATGTGGTCTGGATAAGCTCATCAGGAAGGCCGGCTCTGTGATTGGATGCCCTTTGGACTCAGTGCAGCAAGCGGGAAACAAAAGGACCGTAACTAAATTAACATCTCTGTTTTATTATGTTTCCCACCCCATGCATGAAACTGTTGCAGAACTGGAGAGCTCCTTCAGTGACAGACTGCTGGACCCTAAATGCACCAGGGAGCGTTATTACAGATCCCTCCTCCCAGCAGCTGTAAGACTTTATAACCATCACTGTTTCCAATATTCAATAAGATGTTACATTCATGCAGATTTTGCACTGTTTCTGCCTTAGTTAGTTAAATAACTTGCTGGTCATTTTGTACATCTCTGATATTGCTGCAGTTGTGATCAGGTGCCGCTTATGTAACCTGAACTACTCCCCTCTGAAGACACACGCATCCAGTGGAGGTTCTAAAAGATGTAACTTCCTGTTTCCTGTTTATAGAGGCTAGATCATGAGCTAACCCTTTCTTTTTTTCAGTTGGACCCGACAAGACCAGAACCAAAACCCCTGGNGTTTCCTGTTTATAGAGGCTAGATCATGAGCTAACCCTTTCTTTTTTTCAGTTGGACCCGACAAGACCAGAACCAAAACCCCTGGGGCCAGCTAAGTTAACAGGTATTTCAGCCTCATTGCTGTTTAATGCATCCCTAAGTCATTATTTATTCTTCACCATAAAACTGAATAAAACTTCGCTCTTTTGACCACAGTTAACATCTCTGTGTCACATATGTATATTAAAGTTTTTCCCTTTTATTTCTTTATATTTGCTTATTTTCAGTAGTGTTTAGTGTCTGCTTAGTTATTAGATATAATACTGTGTGATTGTAGCTAATAAAGGTACCATTGTGTTTTAACTCACAGTCTTTTGTGTTTATTTTACACAGTGAACGATTTATCACTTAGGCTGTATTCACTCTTCTTTCAGTAGCATCCGAATGAACAGAGACACATTCAGTTGGTTGGTGATTAATAACGTTGCTGAAAGCCATAGCCTAAATTACTAAATTGGTGAAAGAACTTAATTTTACAAGCCAGATTCAGGAGTCCAACCTTTTAGGTAAGAGGCTAAAAACCCTGGTCAGTAAACAAATTACAGTTATAATCATTCAACTGATAATAATTATTGGTCTTGATTTGAATAACGGATTAATAAACTATAACTTCCATTTCTAGTTATTTAATATATTCATAATCTTCTGGTAAACTCTCACAACACTACTATTTTCAAATATCCATTACTGTAAAAATGTCTATAGCTATACATTGATTATTTGTTCTCCAAGTGCAGAGTATATATAAACACTTTACATGACATAATTTCATTTGTTTATTTTTTAACTCTTCATTATTATATTATTATACACTTTTCTAAGGTGTGACCTTTTTTTTTTTTTACCATAACCTTTTTGCTGCTTCAAAACACCAACATTTCCCCATTATGGGACAATAAAGGAATTTTCTATTCTATTCTATTCTATCCTATTCTAT